AAAACGGCTCGTGCAAAGTGTGGGCCATCCTGGACCGTACCGCCCTTCTCAGGGATAATTTGGGAGATCAGCCCAGCACGGCCCATATCCCAAGCCCGTGCAGGCCCATGTCGTGCCAAGCCATGCAGCGGGCTTGAGCTGGGAGGGTTGTAGGCCGTGCTGGGTTGGGCCACAGGCCGGGCCTTTGACGTGAGCCGAACTATGACAGATTTTTTTTTGYTTTTTTTACACTTTTTTATTTCTTTGCTATGTAAAACTAAAATATTTAACTTTGGGAACTATTTGAAAAAATAAGAAGTCTAACAAAGAAATGAAAAAAATACTTAACCAAATAAGAAGTCAAAGAGACAAAGACTCAAAGTGAATAACAAATTCAAAGAAAAATAGGAATTTTATTTCATTTAAATTTGAATGATATAAAGCATACAATGGTTGGATGAATGAAAAATGAAAATTGGAAAATGGAATAAATTAATAAAATATAAAAAATTATGTTATTATAAAATATCAAATAAATTAAATAAAATTAAAACAAAATTTACAATAATTTGAAAAAAAAAGCTATACAACTATTGAGTATACAAAAAATATTGACTTCATCATTTTCTCCTATTGTTCTTGACTTTGATCATTGTAGGAATTGAAAATGGTGGGTGATAGGGCTATTTATAGGAATTGTTGAATTGGTGTGATGAGAATGGTGGAGGATAGGGCTATTTATAGGAATTGAAAATAATTCAATTGGCCAAGATACCCTAAAAATTAGTCGTTTTAAGTTGTTGGGAGGGGTATTTTGGTCATTGTAAAGCTATTAATCACTTTACCCAAAATGCCCCCGAACTACTTGTTATATTGCTTGTTGGGGGCATTTGTATCATCTCCCCCCCCCAAACCAAAATATATAAATACCCCCTATATAGTTGTTTATAGCTATTGGGAGGGTATTTCTATAAAAAAAAGCCCCTATATAGCTAAGGACCTGCGGATCGTACCCTGGGCTAGGCCGTTCCAACACGTGGGCCGCAGGCGGCATAACACGCACAATCGTGCCCTGTCATGCTGGCCCAGACCATCGTGCTGAGCTTGGCACAACCCGCGTGCCATTGTGCCCTGCCAGGCCACATGCAGCACGACCCGATTTACACCTCTAAGGATTTTATGGATAAATAAAGGGATATTATCTAAAACCATGGTTTTCAAAACTTGATCGGACTAAACGGTCAGACCGGAAAAATCAAGAAACAGTCGGTGACCGGTTCAATTTTTCCCCAAAACTAGAATTTTGCCAAAAAAACGTTGATTTGGTCAGCAAACCACTGACCCAGGCAATTGAACCGTTTGAACCGTTCAACAGTTTTGACTGTTTTTTATTTTTTTTTGTCAGAACGGGCCATCCGTTTAGTTCGAACAGTCGAACTGTTTGACTCAGAAACCAGACTCCTGGTTCATTGTTCGATTAGGTTTTAAAAATCTTGTCTAAAACTCACCATAACGTTTTAAAATCTCCAAGCTCCCTGTCCATTGACCTTAAAAAATAAATGGTTTTATCAAATTTACCAAAATATCCCTCTAAATATCCCTATTAGATATCAAGATTTTGGGAGAAGTATTATTCATCTTCAATTCCTCCTCATCCAACTGAACCAGAGGCACTATCATCCGCCAATGCTCCTGTTTCCTTCACCAATCTGCAACCTCAGACTCTAGTCATCCTCTCCATAAGAACATCCAAAATACGGAACTCCTTGGTGGTGACCCACATTCCCACAATATGTAGGACTAAGCTTAAGTTTTCTTGAAAATGAACTACAAAAATCATAGTCATTAATATTTGGATCAATGAAATAGAGAACTTAATTGCTGGGGATGTTTTAACTGCTATTGAGTTTATTTCAGCAAATAGACACGAATCACAGATATCAAGTTGCACTAACAAAAAAGAAATGGCTAGTGTCTTCATTCTTCACCATCTCAATGAACCTTCATGTAAACTGGCCAACCAATTAATTGATGAACCACCCGGTGAATCACCCATTTCGATCTGCTCATCATCCATTCCAATCTTCAATCTGCATCAATAAAGAAAACAAAGGAGGTCCGAGACACTAGCCCATGGAAGCAAAGTGCAACATGGAACTGCTTAATCCGAACTGGGCTAACTGGGAGGCTCTATTCTCTTCCATCACTTAGCTGCCTTTTTCGTGTGTTTTAAAAACAAGTCAAGTGCCCTTTTATAACAACGTCTGTAGAGTAGCACGGAGTGCATCTAAATCAATAACCCAATCTTTTTGTTGATGTATGAAGTTAATACAAAGTTCATAACCATAGAAAATAACCTCACCATCAAGTGCAACTGCAATTGTGGTTTTTGCTCTTGCTTTTCCTCTTTTTCTTTCTTTTAGTCATTTTTAAGTTTCTCTTACTCTTTCTTTAAGTATTTTGAGTTTTCACAATAGTGACAAACTACACTTCTTATCTTAAATTTGTTCCATGATTTATCACAATCTTGTTCGCTTTTATCCGGATAAATGCAGTTACCTGGTGAAGTTTTTCTTGGGAAACACTTATCCGGGTAAGTGTATTTATCCATGTTTTTTTATTTCTCATGTAAATAAGGCAATGACCATTTTATCCATAAAAAATCCATCATTAAAAGAGGCGTTTTTGTCTCATTCAAGTGTTAGCAACTTCCCCCCAGGAAAATAAACTTTCCCTGATCCCCACATAAATCTGAAAAAAGAACATAAAATTCTTGGTCAATGAGAACCAAAATCACATTGACCAACCTCTCTCAAAATCCAAAAAAAAAATGTCCCCTTCTTCCCTAGTTTGTGTGGCAAGCACTTTCGAATGTAAAGAACCCAAAGATTTTTCCTCTTGCTTCTTCATTTGATAGTAACTCCACTACTTAAAAGATTCATCATCACATCATCAAACCTCATCTTCATTAATGTAGTGAGCTAATTTATAATACTTTGCATCTCATTGAAATGTCGTATAATGGAAGACCTTTCTTTCTATTTTTAAGTTCATAAGCTTCCTAGTTAAGAAATCTTTGTTGTTAGTTGTCTTCTATCCATACAATCCTTCCAATTTCTTCCACGTTAAATAAATGAACTCTTTGCAATTTCTGAATACTCAAGAGCTTTGCAGTCAAACTTTTTCCAATCATTATTAGATTTTTTTTTTTATTTACCCTTATGACCTTCAACGATGCATACAAGTCTTTGCAATAGAACAAATCTTCCATTTTCGATTTCTAAATGGAGCAGTTACTTCCATTCAAGCTAATCATTCTACTTAAACCCACTTCCGTGATTTACACATAAAATATTAGAATCAATAGCTTTGATGCCACTTTATTGGGATTAATAATACTCTTGTGTACAATATGCAAATCAATAAGAAGAAATGCAAGCAAACACAATAGAATATGCTTAATGAGACAAATAGTGAAAACACAATAAGAACAAAATACACCAAGGATTTAACCATAGGACCAAAGTATAACAACTTCTACTATCAACAACAATAATGGGGTAAAATAGTCTTTCTAACAACAACTGGAGGTATTCACATCAAAAGATATTGGATATCTTAGATAATAACCAGTGTTTTTGAACCATTGTTGACTCAGATGATTAAAATGTTTGGCCCAAAACGGTTCCATTTCACCCTTAACTCATTCCTAGGCCAAAAACCATTAATTTGATCAGCAATCCATTGACCCAGATAGTCGACCCATCAATCCAAACAACGGTTTTTCACCATTTTTTATTTTAATTATTTTTTTACTTTTTTTTAATTAGAACAAGCTGTCTGTTTGAATCAGACGGTCAAACTGCTGACCCGGAAGGTGGCTAAAGCAGTTTCGGTTCCGGGTCGATTTTTAAAATATTAATAATAACAACAATTTTAGTAACAGTAGCTACAAGATAAAATTGAGAAATCTCACCAAATACGATGAAAAACCAAAGATGAGTGGTGGATTGATGGTCACGAACCCAACAAAAAGATAAATCTTTTCTCTGGCAAAGAAGAATAGTTTGCACCAACATCTCATCTTTTTTTTTTTTTCTCTTAAGGATGAATTGCCATTAAGATGCATGTGTCAGTACAATCGGTCCCCAGCTTTTGTAACTCCCCTTGTTGCACAATAGTGACACCAAAGTTGAAAGTTCGGTCCTACACGTGTACACTCTCCGATTTTGAACTGACCCCTTGGTGCACAACATTAGTATGCAATAATTATATACCAAACTACTTTAATTCAATTGAAAAAATTTTGCCTTCTCTTTTTTTTCCAATGTTTTCGAACCATCATTGGCCCAGATGGTTAAACCGTTTGACTTGAAAACTGTTCAGATAATTAATTCCATTTTACCCCAAGCTCGGTCCTTGGCCAAAAACCATTGAATTGGTCAATGACCCATTGACCCAAGTGATCAAACCGTCAACATGTTCAATAGTTTTTGACCATTTTGATTTTAATTATTGTTTTTTAATATTTTTTTTTTTGGTCAAAACAGGCCATCCATTTGAACTGAACGGCCAAACCGTCAACTTAAAAAYCAGTGGCTAGAACGATTCCGGTTCTAGATCGTTTTTTTAAAACATTGCTTTTTCCAACCCTCCCCTTCTCTCCCTTTCATTGAAGAAAGTACTGTACCTCTTCATTGCAGAGGAAAAAAGGATGAGTGTAAAGAGAAAAATACACGTTGTACTTACATACATGGGATAAATATATACTAGAAGGTTGGATGAGCTCAGGTTGGGTTGGGYCAGATTCCGTCTGGTATTGGAATATCCAAGGCTTTATTCGTAGCTCAACCCAAGGCGAGGTAAGCCAACTTTTCAATCCTTAGCCCAGCCAAGAGCTCAAAAATCTAATGCCTGTTTGTGTGTGTGATTCTTGTCTGATCGATTCAGTTAGAAAATAACAGGAAATAAAGACAAGAACTCGGAACAAAAACACCAAAAACAACTCCACGTATTGTCAATGAAATAAACGAATTTGCATCTGCTTCATCAAAACATGATGGGGAAAATGGAAGGTAGACAGGTCATCAAGGTACAAAAGAAAGGCGGTGAAAGGAAAAAGAGTGAAAGTTTTACTTAACAAAACTTCATATTTATTGTCACATAAAGCACACAAACTAGAGTGAAAGAATGCATGTTTAAAGATAAACTCTCTACAGAGACTTGAGAGCTATTTACAGGTCCCATAAACTTATATTTCATCTATGGGCATAGAAACATCATTTTCTGCCCCCAAAACAGCAGCAACTCTGAAAAAGACAAGGAAATAATCAAATAAATGAGAAGATGTTCAAGAACAATAGAAGCCAGAAAAAAGAGCTAATGGAAGTAAGAAACCCACATACCACGGAACTGTCCTTGTCTTGCTTAAGGCGACCATTGGAGTAAGATGATTCAGTTGAAATGACTGGTACCTTTGCTGCCCCACTCTGTTTCTCCTCCCTCACTTTGTTGAAGATGTGGGTATAACCATCAGCTGATGCAGGGTTGTTCTCATCCCAGTCACCAAATTTTGGTACAGCAGGCCCTCTTTCAAACTGCCACATAGGAAATAACATCATACTCTTACTCAACAGAGAAAATCCATAGTATATCAGTTCTTCCCCACCTTAGAGAATCACCTAAGCAAGCAAGAGTAGCACAGAATCACTTTAAGCAATAGTAGCACTTAGACACTTTACCAAGCTCATAGATAATATAATCAATGCTATTAAAAAAGATTCAAGACTGAGCACAAAAAGGGTTTGCCAAGTGCACTAGGCAACTGATAATAAGACCAACTAAGTAGTGAAAGACTTGAAAAAACAGGGAAAAAAACTGAAGCTCACACTGCACAAAGCACATAAACATTCATGCATGTCTCTATATAGTACATATTTGTGCATGTCTATGTATGTATTCAAGCTTCTGAGAAAAATGGGATCAAGAGAAGTTTACAGTTTCATCACCACGAGGTCTCAGTCGTGATCTTCCAGGGGTTGCGGGAGCTAAACCATGCCCATGATCAGACTTTTTTTCCCAGGAAGGAGAAGAAACACCAGTTTTGTTTGCAGCCTTTGCCTGGTAGTGTGGATGGAGCGGAGACTGTTCAACACTCCTGTCAGACCCACCAACTGGTCTGCTAACCTTTTTGGGGGTTTCACCAGAACTTACCCCACGATCACCAGCACGTTGATGAGGCAAGTCAGCAGCTCTTCGACCTTCAGTTTCATGTTCTGGAGATTCAGTTACTTTCCTGGCATCAGCATCTTCCTTGCTTGACCGGTGCTCATGCTTTGGCTTTTCATCTCCTGGTCCCTCTAATTCAGCTCCTGTCCTGGAGGGAAGATCTGCTCGAACAGGTGGTGTATCAGAAAATAGATCTGGGTTCTCCTGAGGATCATTTGGATTTATGATTTTCCCAGTACTTCTGCCCTTCCGTGCCTTGTCAAAATAAGCCGTGTAAGGTACATTCCCTTCACTTTCCCAGTTGCCAAATTTAGGCACATTTGAGCGTTGCTGTCAAAACATCATTACTGTCATTATTTCTACTGAGGATTGGTAAAATAAATAACATCAATTCCAGCTTTATGTTTGACATACCCCAGCTTTAGAAAATGTCAAAAAAGCTTGCAATTTGGAATCCATTGCCCAATTATAAAATTGTTCACTAAAGTTAGTTCATTTATCTGACTACGATAAGACAAAAATTGTGCTTGAATAAACATTATGTGCAAATATAATGTTTAACTGAAGCAAATACTAATTAGTTTTACATGTATGTTCCCCTTTTAAAAATAATGTTATAGCTCAGATAGCTGGCATCTCAGAAACCACCAAATGCCTAAGTGGCAGAACAATAACCAATTTGTGAAGTACCTTGGGTATAAGTATAACCTGAAGATATAATGAATGGGCCTCGAGTTATGAATCAACTTCAAAAGGTAATTTTTTGTCTAATACATGCTTCCACTGATTTATTAAATATCTAATTCTTTCTATACCTCTATGATATTGCTTCAACATAAGAAAATTTAAAGGATTAAATAACAAGAAAAGAAAAATGACATCAAAACAATCATATTTGGATTTTGGAACAATTGATATGTCTCGGTCCTTGCAGAGGCCCTCATGGTTATGTAATGATATTGAAAGATCATGATATGTTGTTCAAATATCTAGCTTTTATGTACAAAACACAGAACCATGGAAGCAAGACCAATGAGAGTGCACGATCCTACTGCATATACAATGCTTTTCTAAATCAACAAATCAAGCCTCCAATCAAATACGGTAAGTGCAAGTAAAGTCGTTACTAGATTATAATGACTACCATTTTTTACTAAGGCTGCATTTATTTCAATTGAAAATGGGGCAGGAAGAAAATGGTACAACACAGAACCAAAGGCAAGGTTGCAAAAACAAGTACGAACTTCGAGAGGGGTTCATATTTCTCAAGTTGCAAAGCTTCCAAGATGGAGGTGCTTTTATTGGTGGTTTCACCAAATGGAAAGAAATCAAATAGCAGGGAAGAAGTAAGAAAAGAAACCAGAGAGAACAGGGAGAATAATGGACAGAATCATACTACCACAAAACAACTTGAAAATAGCATCTTATCAAACCCAAGATGGACAATGGAGTCTCGCCACCCCTTTAGCACAAGTTGCAAAGTTAAAAATTGGGTTCATTAATTTCTCAAAAAGGGCCATATGATGACTTTTTATAGTGATAAATGAGTTGTTCCTTTGGGAAAAACCATAGCTTAAAAAGAAAGACAGCAGCTATAAGATATTCCTCTATAATATTCTTCTTTTAAATTTCCTCTACAAAGGATAAAAATGGTCGACTAGACCACAAACTAAGCTAGTGAGGGCTTGCATATTTTGGTCTCTGGTGGGTGACTTTAAGGCCTATGGGCTTGATTGCATCACAAGTTGTTTTACTTCTTGCTCTTATCAAATTAAACACAACTTATATGGAAACAAGGTAAGCAATAGACAGTACAAACAAACCATTGTTGACCACAAATAATTTTTGACAACTCTTGTTACTAACATTGGTCCCTGGTGGATGGACTTCCAGATGGTATCCATTTGCAACTCTAAAATCACATTGGAAGACTTGGAGACCCTAGCCACAAGGGGAGTCCTAGTTTGACACAAGGAGTTCAATCACTTTGATTTTGATCACCACACTCTCAGCCCTAGTTAGCATGTTTTTGTTTGTGTTTATGTTTTGATTTGCTACTGTTTTAACTGTCAAAACTGGCTAAATCTATTCAGATCATAAACTTTAAATTGGTACTTGAAATGGATCACCAAACCGTAGGCTGATTGGACCTAGAATGGATCCAATTTGTTGGGCCGACTCTAGGGTTCATCGCTTACTGTTAACAGCCCATGAACATCACTAATTAGTATCTAAATCTTATTTGAGTCAAGCGTTTGATGGACCAATCCATGGATCAATTCAAACCTTTCTTAGAAAACAAACTAGTTAGGTTAAAGCAAGATCAACCCAAGCAGTTATGAGTTGGATAATGGGCTCAACTACTTTTTATAGTTGGGCCCATAATCTAATTACCTTCTAATTAAGTAAAACCATCAAACATTGGGCTGATAATGTGTTAACCTAAACAGGTTTGGGCTTCTAAAGCTTCACTTGTTAGTTTACTTGTATCGGATACTTCTTTGCTCTGTGATTGTGAATCCAACACATGGGCCATAAGTGCTTGGCCAATATTCATACTTAAGTGGCTCTCTACACCCATCATGGTTGAATGCACATCGTTACCATGATATTTATCAGATCATTGAATCATCCCCTGGATTGTGGGTCCCTCTGTTTCCTCTCCAAAGAAGGGAACCCCGCAGTAACCTTAATCCGTGGGACCCACATAAAATCTAACTTCATCAATTCAGTGGGCACCACCTTGGTAAGACATAAGAACTGAAGTTAGGGACTACTAAAACATCAGTTCCCTCATGAATAATACAAGTGTATGATGATAGGGATCAACATTAGATGTTATCTGTAAAGGCCTTCCATCATTGGTGTGAAAATGCACAAAAACAATAAGCAAAGATGCACCATAAAATTGGGCTATCTGCTTTACTACAGATGCCAGTTGGATCATCTCATATGACGATAGAGGTGTCATAGACTAATGGAAGGGACCTATCCTAAAATGGAAGGCCCTCTCACAGTATATTGGGGCTCCTAATATGATGAGTCAATACTTACCAATTAGAAAAGTTTACTCCAAAATGGCCATGGACCTTGTCTAATGGAGGCCAAAGAGGAAGCTCAAAAGACATGAGAGAATTCATCATGGACCTTATATCTATCAAAAAAAAAGTCATCATGTACCTTATCTTAAAAGATTGATAAGGTATCCACCCAAAAGGCACCAAAAAATCCTGGTGAAAGAGATAATTCTATCTAGAGATAGTTTGACAAAATCACCTCATGTAAGGTGATACTGGATAGTCTTAAAACAATGTATGAGAAGTGGAATCATTCTACTCGCCAAAAGGCCTCCAAACTGTTGATGACAACTAAGTTGTCAGAGAACCATCTAGTTCATGACCATGTCATGAAAATGGTAAGGTTTTATCAATGAACTGAAGGCTCTGCGCAGTAAGTTAGATGATGACACTAAGATTGATGCTATCCTCAACTCTCTACCCACCTTCAATCAGTTCATTCTGAACAACAAGATGAACAAGCTAAAAGCTAACTTGCAACATGCTGAGGAATTGATAAAGGAGAAGTCAGTAGTCATGCTTGTTGGAGGTGACAAGTCTGGTAAGAAGAAAACAAAAGCAAGAAAAAACCTCAAAAGAAAGTTGACAAGCGTAAGAAGCAGAAGAGGGACAAGTCATCATATGAACGTCACTTCTACAAGTAGGTTGGCATTGAAGATGAACTATCCTCAGTACTTAGACTCCTTAAAGAAGAAGGAAGGTATGTTTGAAACTTAGATCATAGAGACCAATATGTTGGTGACTTCTACATCCTAGTGTATTAACTTTGGGGCTTCTACTCATACATATAATACTTTGCAGGGGTCCAAGGAAAGCAGAAAGTTGAATGATGATGAGGTCATTCTTTACATGGGGACATTTGTAACCATTACAACTACTATTATAGGAACAATAGTTTTCGGTTTTAGGGAAGGTTTCTTAGTACTTGAAGATTGTCTTTATGTACCCTAGTTTAAGAGGAATTTGATTTCAATTTCTAAGTTATGTAATGTTATGCAGGAGAGAAGAATGAAAGAAGAGAGAAAAGAGAGAGAGGAAGAGAGAAGAGAGAAGAGAGAAGAGAGAAGAGAGAACTGAGAGCTCAAAAGATACTGCTGGCGGCACAGCTTTTTAATATATATACTGGGCGACAACAACTAAAATAAAAAAGGAGCAAAAGTACAATAGTACCCTTGCGGTACTATACATAGGAAAAAATAACAGCTGTTAACATGTAACAATGGTCATTCTATATTATTCAACAATAAAATTACAATTAAATTGAATAACAAGTTCCTTGCACATGAAGAACTTGAAAATGATCTCTAGCACTCCATCCTTCCCTAGAGATAAATGTGATCGAAACAATTTCAAAACAAATCCCTATGAAAAGAACATGTGAGACAATTAACCTTACTTACCCGTGGCATTATCAACTTAGTCACATCAACATAGAATGTATCACAAGATTTATTAAGGATGGTCTTTTGGATTTTCTCATAGTAGAAAATCTACCAACTTATAAGCCTTGCCTAGAAGGAAAGATGACAAAACGACCATTCACCAGTAAACCCGAAAGAAGAACAGGCACATTTGACTTAATACATACAAATGTATGTGGTCCCTTGAATGTTATAACACATAATCGCATTCTTACTTTATAATCTTTACCAATGACTATTCTCAGTATGGGTACATGTACCTAATTAAACATAARTTTGAATCATTTGAAAAGTTCAAAAAATTCAGACATGAAGTCRAGAAATAGTTAGGGAAACAAATCAAAGTACTAAGATCTGATCGAGGTGGAGAATCTCTCTCTAAAAAATTCAATGACTACCTAAGGGATAATGAGATCATTTCACAATTCTCCTCCTACTACACCATAATTAAATGGTATGTTCGAGAGAAGAAATCAAACTTTATTAGATATGGTCCAATCATTCATCGTCTACTTAGAGTTACCCATATCCTTTTGGAAACATGCATTAAAGATTATTACATATGTGTTGAACCAAATTCTAGCCAAGTCAATTCCTAAGACTYTATATGAGCTTTGGACTAGCAAGAAACCAAGCGTTAGACACTTCAAAGTTCAAAATATGGGGTTGTCTAGCACACGTAAAAAAAGATAAGTGTTGACAAAAGGTATTTGTTAATTGAAATGCCCATTTCCTTGAAGAGGATTACATCTTAAACAATCATCATCAAGAAGTTCTTGATGAGGAGAACTCTGATGTAGTGGGAGAAGTCCCACAAGTTCCAGATACAAAC